GAGTAGTTTTCTTTAATTGTATGTGCCCCCTTAAAAAAACACCTGTGCCACCCTTTGCAAAAAAAAAAAAAAGCCCATCTCCGCCCCTGCACACGGTGCAAACAATAACAGTGTGTGAGGGAGCCTGCAGCCCACCTGCAGTATGAGGGTGGTGCTCATCTGCCAGAGGGGACCCGGCTCCCCCACCGTGGACCACTTCCAGGTGGACACGTTTGTAGTGGGACTGGTTGTGGCTGACCTCACCCTCCAAATGGCCGTCGCCCTCACTTCCTGAACTGGAACCGGGCTTTCCGTTTTTGCGGCGCCGCGGCTGGTATTTGTAGTCTGGGTAGTCCTTCTTGTGCTGCTTCCTCAGCCGCTCTGCCTCTTCGATAAAGGGTCGTTTGTCGCTCTCGTTGAGAAGCCTTAGGTGAGGGAGGATGAAAAAATAAAATAAAATTTGGGGAAAATTGATTTGTTTGGAGTCAGGATCAGAAATACAAAAGCTGCTTTGAAAAGAATCAGTTCAAGAAACGGTTCTAATTACAAAAATAGAAGTCAGTTGAGAACATTTCTAAATGAGTTTTTAAATAACTCCACATTAAGAGAAAAAGAAAGCTTTATCACATAGGCAATGTGTTTTGGTGCATTTGAATAAATTTTCAGAATGTTTAAGTTTCTTGTTGTCCAGGAGCTCAGCTGCATCTGATGGCACGCCTGTCAGTAGGCATTCTGGCTGCTGGACAGTAATAAAATAACAGACAGAAGCTGCGTCCTGTTCATTATCAACATGGAGCCGAGCTCCTTCTGCAGCTTGAGAAATCTCTGACCTTCCTCTGCCTGCAGGTTCATCCTGTTTCAGGGTCAATTAACGAATCCTGACTGAGTCCAAGGTCAGGTCTTTATCTAATTAATATTTAATCCTTATGAGGTTAATTCGTTTAACTTATTGAAGCCTCTGGGCATGAATTAGGGAGTGTTCTTTTAAAGAAAAAATGCAAAGCAGGGCAGACAGACACAGGATGCAGGAACCTTTTAAACGTGGGTTTAAAACCCAACCTGCCAAGTTTTGCTCAGAAACTTCAAGTCCGGAATGTTTCTTCTTTTAATCTGTGAAATTCACATTTGAATAACTTGGACTAAATTAATATAAAAGCATCCCCTGTTAAAAATGTTCAGGATCAATGAGGTCTTTACAAAAACAACATAAGTTGCAAACAAAAAAGGCAATTACAGGAATAATTCAGACTTTTGGAAGTGAGTTTCTGTGAAAATGTTAGACGTCAACATTTAATGGTGCAGAATAACCTTATAAAAGAATAGCGTTAACAAAGCTGAGAAGTCACCAGCTAGACAGAGTCAGGCCAAAACCAGTGAATCATTGCATTTTGCGTTTCACATTTCATATTAGTTATTTATGGTTATTTGCAGGTGCAAATAGCAGCTGCACTTCAGCAGTCATTTCATATCATTTCTGCCAGAATGACCATCCAGTGCAAAACTGCAGTTTTAATAAAAGTGTTTGCATGAAATACATAGACATTTTGAGGACTGGGTGCTTTGAAACGGCATCCTCATGGGTGAGAAAATAATGAGAAACCACTTCCACTGCTGCCACCTCAAAACAACTCAAACCATATAAATGTTTTAACAGTTCATGTTGAGGATTTTTAAATATATTTGTACTGCTGCCAACTTTGTATTAAAAGGTTATTTAAGCAGAAATATTCTAATGCTATTATTTTAACTGAAAGTATCACAGCCGTGGCCATTTGTGCTTGAAAATGATCATATTCCACATAAACAAACTTGGTCAGTAGAACAGATGTAGCTACAAAATAACATTTGCACAAACCACTACATTATTTTGAAGAGTGGAGTTGTTTTAAGACAACAATTTGGTCTTGGCCTTGCTTGGAATAGCATAAGTATTTCAGTCCATCCAAAAATAAACTCTGTTTCTCCAAACTGAATTTGTTAAAGAGGCAAAAAAATGCATTAAAACCACTTTCATGTTACTTTAATATTGTCACATTTGCTGTTTCTAAAAGTCATCATCTTGTTTTTTATCATTTATTCAATATTTCATTCCACAGTATTTACTACAAAGCAGTTTTCCTGTAAATTTTGTAAAATTTGTGTACTGTATTCATGTCTCACACAGGGAGGGAGCCAGATGGTGGCCTGGGGAGTCCATGGCCACCATATAAAAATCTTTGGCCACCCCAACAATATTTTGGTGAAGCCATTTCTCTATGCAGAATGTTTTATTTCACCTGCACTGCTCAGATGGGACATTGTGTACATAAATGAGAGAATGACCAAGACACACAATTAGATCCTCAACAAATCCCCCCCCCCCCCCCCCACCCAAAATAATAATAATAATGTCTGGACTACCCCATAATACTGTCACACAGTTATTGAATACTGTGTGACACTGTGACACTGTATACCAGTGGCGGCTGGTCAATAGGGGGCGCACGTGGTCAATAGGGGGCACACGTTGCCCCCCCCCCCACCCCACTTCTAGTTTTGGTACACAAAAATTAAATAAAAAAAATAAAATGTTATAAATGATCCGAAAAAATATTGTAGATATGTTTTCTAATAAGCAAAATAAATAATTTATAGTTATTGATGTGTAAACTTCCATTTTACTCATGAGCGTTTTCGTGCGAGTCACTTCCAGGTCACGCTGTGTTCGCTGCCCCAGACTTCCATGTACAACTCGTGAAGATTTTGGTCATGTGCAGTAAGTCCTCAATGCAAAAGTATAGGGTGGCCTGGGTTCGCAGCTGACCTGCAAACACACACCGGTAGTGGGTGGGTCCACCTGTGTCGACGACTAGACGTCATAAGGCGACAGCCAGCAGGGCAATGCAAGGTGGATTTTGGAGAACAACAAACGAGAAATGAAGGAGAAGACAACACCGTAAGTCCCTTATATCTCAACCTTTTCTAAGCAGAATATATGAGGAGAAACTTAAAGTGAAGTAGTTTGGACTGAATAAGCCGGAAATAATAAAAATTGAGCAAGAACGTGGTGTAGTTAGATTGTGTTGGTGTTCCCTTTATATTTGAGCATCATATAATATAAATAATGGTGAACACAACTTAATATAATACAAAGATGTTTTTTTATGTTTCTATTTAGTTTTTTTTTGCAAATTACTTTTGTTTGAATTTATTTTTAAAAGGGGGCAGATATTAGAAGATATTTTTCTTCTTTCTGCTGCCTTTCATTTTATGTATATTTTTTCTTCTGTTGTGCATAGTTTATTTTGTTTTTTAATAAAATTAATACATTTTTAAAACAAAAATACAATTAATAGTTTACCTTAGAGGTGCAACAATTTGTTGCTGTTAAAATAACTATAATTGTTCTCTATATATTAAATATATATTAGAAAGCTCACTTGTAGCCATCTCCATATTGAATTAAATTTCTGCATTCATTGTTTTAGGTTYGTGACACCATCTTGAGCCATTCACAAGCATCTGATCAGAGCCATGCTGCAGGCAGACAGRTTCCTGCAGGACAGTTCTCTGAAGCAGCACAGAAGACCATAGAGGCTCACCCAGTGCTGAACAGGACCAGCTCTTCATGAGGAACAATCTGCAGGACACCTTTAGAGACTGTGACTCTGTTGATGATTCTCATCACATCTCCTCTGACCACAGCTGAATCTGAGAGGAACTGAACACTGAAGAGAATCCAGACTTTCCTCAGGTACAACATCACATCTCACTGCACTGACCATGCTATAGAAGAATCTTGTTAAAACATCCCTGACTTTAACCAGAGTCATGAAGAAATTTGCTTCTCATTAACAGAAGAGCAAAATTTATGTATAATAAATAAAACACTACATGACATTGTAATGCGGTTTTATTATTTTCATTTGTTTAATAAATACACTGTCGTGATGCAACTTAGCACATGTTTGATTGCTTTTGGAGATGAGCCTATGTTGGAGTTGTGGCCCCCACTGGAGAAAAATCCACTAGCCGCCACTGGTGGACTCCAACAATTAAAGCCAGTTTTTTAATGCAAAATTAGTATCCCAATGTTCAATGGCCTGCATTATTTTTTTT